AAGGAGAGGAGCCGGGAGATGCGGGACGTTCGGGATGTAGCTTACCTTTCCCAAATTGAGATAGAGGAGCTTAGCATTCCCAAAAACCTCCTCAGACTAGGCACGTTGATGGGGACTGGATGCTGCTGAACAACCGCTGCTTTTGCCGGATTTGGCACCATATAGGATACGACCCATTCATTTGACCTCCGGTACCTTGTACCGGAACTTATCAGAGCTCAGAACCAGGTGCCGGGCACGACGGCGATCAAGGGCACACAGATTTTGCTCGTGATCCCGCTCCGCCTCTGCCAGCGGCACTGCGATAGACATAGTCTAGCGAATTACAATTTTTCACATCAACCAGATAGAGGCGCAGAGGTTTTGAAGCTGAGAATCGGAGCATTTGTATCTTCCACAACATTTCACTTCAATATACAAACACTCTCAGACACAGGGTTATGAAGCTGCGAGTCGACTATGCCATCACCGTATACAAGTCCCCCGTGAAACACACACAAAGCCGTTGTACATAGCTTCAGTCGCGCTCAACCGACCTCCCCAGAGGCACGGACATTATCTGCCCTAGACAGCACATCGCACTCCGCACACGAATCGATCAAAAATGTCACTAAGGCCCTGCTGTTGTGTACAAAGTTTTACGAGCCTTTCTTGGGAAGCTATCGCCGGCCGCCGACATAATGTCGTGCAGCATCGCTCCACCGTCGTCTGCAGTGTCGGGCTGGGTCCGCGCGGCGGCCGCTTGACGCCGGTCGAACCCGCCACCGCCACGCATCCGTCCCTCTTGTCGTCTATCTCGCTTCATCTTGCACCCTCGCGGCATCCCGCTTGTCCGGGGCAGGCTGCATGCGTCAGCCACGAGTGGGCCGAGAGCCCCGTGGGGAGGGGATCCTGACCGGGTACTCAGCGCGCATGCGCGGGTTAAAGCCCGGCGGTTGGCCCCCCAGACGCATGCAAGTCTGCCCCACCATTAACCATTTTCCTTCATTCCATAGCCCTGAAATGATCATTTCTGGCTGAAAGGGCTCTAATGAAAAATTACCGCCACCGGGCGCTGGTTCCCGCAGCTGCCACCGGCCAGGTGGCGGCGCCACCGTCGGTAGGCCGGCGGGCGGCGGCGGCGTCAGGTGGGCGGCGCGGGCGGCAGGCCACGCCGGCTGTCGGTCGGCTGCATCACGGTGGGGACAAACAGGAGTCCCCGCGAAGTGATTGCCGCCTCTGCAGGTCAAAACACTCTTTTCCCCACACCGGACACAACCGTCTGTTCATGACGTGGTGCCTCCCACAAAGCTTACACAGGTGAGAGGAGCCTGCTAGCATAGTGCAGCTCTCCTCCGCGGCTGCGATGACACGGCTGCGGTGACGGGGGCTGCTCTTCTCCACCCATCACCTTGATGTCGTGGCTCGCCGCCTCTTCGGCGAGGACAATGTCCGTCGCAAGGGCGAGCGTGAGTTCAGACTACTTTTGAAGCGCTTGTTGCACCTGACGTTCTCGCGCTCCATAGAAACTGATCTCTCCATAACTAACATAACCATAACATAAGGAACTCCATAGAAACCTGATCATATTGTCTTCGTCGAAAAAGTCACAGGTTGCAGCTAGGAGCCTCAGTGCTGACACAAACTGCCTCCAGGCCGCTGGTTGCGACTCAAAAAGCGGTAAGTTTCTTGCCAGTCGGTAAAATGAGACACTGCGACTTAGTGTGATCCTTTTCCAGCACAGGCAAATGAAATTGCTTCTTGCACTGCCCGTGGCCTCTCCCATGCCTCGGACGCTGTGGCACAATAAGCCCATTCCCAGCGCCATCGCCGCCACTCAGACGTCAAAGACCACGCCGAAATGTTCAATTCACGCAGCGGGTGAAAATTCGGGTTGATGATGATTCGAACACTGTAAGTTTTTATCTCTCTGTTCTGCGGTGCGCGAGTAAGAATGAAATGATGAATGCAAGCAGTCTCCGTGTTCGTACGGCTCTACTCAGCATCTTTCTAGGGACACCGCCTCCATCAGCTTCTAGACCTCAACATCTCAACCACTTCCGCGCCAGGGCACGCGCGGCTGTCGGCTACCCCTCCATCGGTTGGAACTGCCACCTGACCAGCCAGTCATCACGATCACTAGTTACGCCATTACCCACGAGATGTCGCCAGGTGAACAAGCCAAGCCAAGGGGACATGGCACTATTGGTATGCTTTAAGAGCGAGACTTTTTTTGCAAAACACAATTTCCCTGTTAAGTGAATGTGCTCCTCAATACATCATTGTTTGTTTACACCATGGATAATGTTATGACGATCCTGCCAGGCTGGGTGTAGGCGTTACCACTGCAACGAGCGGCACGACTCTCCTGTGGTTCTCTTACGCGCCCGCAAAATGGCGTTCGCAAAATGTCGCGCCCGCATTACACGCCGCAAAACGTCTGTGTAAATTTATGTTGCATGCATCGTGTTCATGCGTTGTGGCTTTTTCCTGTGATGGCCTCGTATACTTTTCCGGAATAGCTTATTTCTCATTTGCGTTCGCATTTTCGGTTACAGCACTATTCTCTAAAGGAATGTTTCCACTTGAAGATATTGAAGGAAGCATCGGACATGATATGAGCTCACTTGGTATGATCGCAAGTGCAAATGTGTAATTGTTTTCACAAAGACTGCTCTCAACATCACGATGTCACCATTTTATGCATATGCTCAATGCTTTTGTTTGTTCGCATCATGGAGCAGATTCGCTGCCAGGCTGGCTGTCAGGGTCTTCACGGACAACTTATTTGTAGTACTTCAACCGGCCACAATGTGGCTTGTTCAGGCTTGCGCGTCAACTAAACCCACGCCCGTTATGCGCGTGATGTACTTCTGTATGCTGGGGCTGGACACTTCAGATATGAATGATTGACGTTTCGGCCGCACTCGCCGGCGGAAGTACGTCTGCTAGTCTGTTACAAAAACGTGACGCATCCTCGCCGTACTCCCGTAAGGAAAACCTGCATACGAACCTGACTATTGCTGTACTGCCATACATCTTGTGCGCAGATGATTCGGTCTTCCTGCTTGGACGTCTCCCTCGTCACTGCTTTCAGTGTCCGGCCATGCGTATTTTTCACACGCCTACGCACCCACACTCCACGGGATAACGAGCGCCGGGAGGAGAACTGCACCGGCCTGCGCACGGTCTGGCCGGCCGGACAGGGCCAGTGGCTCTCTGCGGCGGCGCCCGCGGTCTCGCCGTCCGCCGGCCCCCAGTAACGGCCGCTGCAGCCTGGACGAGTTGCCAACACAATCAATACGAAATAACTTTATTCAGAGTTTTATCAATGAACAAAAAAATACAATTCTGGAGGGAAATATTACAAAACATGTGAATAAACTGGTATCCACACTTTGCTTAGAACGTCTCTCTAATGCGGTGGAGGGAATCCCCTACGCTTGTGGTCTTTTCCGCACATCACAGTTTAAAAAAGTAATGCAAAACATTGGTAACACCTATATTAAACCTATACAAACAGGGCGCGGACGGGGCAGCGGGCGACGGCGGCGCGGGCGGCGAGTATCTTCACGGCTGCGGCGGCGACAGAAGTGCGCCAGCTACACTTGTACTGTCCGGTTATGAAGAGGGCGTGTTGGCACGCCGGCGCGCCCGCCGCCCCAGCCCGCGCGCGGCACGTAGCACCAATCAACAGCGGTGAAGAGAGAGACAGGACAGAATGAAAGGAGAGAAGAAAGAGCGAGAGGAGAGAGAGGAGAGAGAGAGAGAGGGAGAGAGAAGAGAGGAGAGGATACGAGAGAGAGAGAGGTAGAGGGACAGTGAAAACGAGATTAGCAAGAGAGAGTGAGGAGAGGACAGGCCAGGGCGGCGCTGCATTAGTGTGCTCGCGGCGCGCCCCCCCGAGCGGACAGCCGACGCGGACGACGCCGGCAGCCCCCCTCCCCCTTCAGACACTATTGCACACGGCACCCGTATTCTGTCCGCCGACGGCCGGGCTGCGGCCTAGGGCCGGCCCGCACCCCGGCGGTTACCCATGCGACTGCGGCGCGGGCGCCGGCGGCCCGGCCGGCCGGGCGGCCGCCGCCTCTCGGAGGCGGCGGCCGCGCCCCGCCGCGGCCCGGACTCCTGGCGCCCGCGCGCGCGAGACCCGATCAGCGTGCCCCTCCCCGCCAAGTCACCGGCGTCGTCCAGGGTTACTTCAGAAGCGCAGTGTTCACATAGCGTGTAGCCTGCCCGGTTGCCCCGAAGGGTCTGCCCACCGGTGGCGGCGTGAAACAATGAGGGAAGCATGCAACACATACGAGCGACCCCACGAAGGCGGGGCCGCGCCGGGCCGACGCGCACGCGCGCTGGTCGGGGCGCCGGGCCCCGGCCACCGGTCGCGTCCCGTCCAGCCCTCTCTATGCTAAGCAAAAGCGTTACGACCGCAGTGTCGCCCGCGTGTAGGCGGCACTGCCGTCGGGCGGCGGCCAACTAATCCTAAATCTGCGTGTTGAGGATATCTGGGTTTGGCATGCGGGGCCCCGAACTCGGTGGCGCGGACCGACGCCACACGCGCGCCGCACTGCCGCGCCGCGGTCCGCACCGACCGACTGCGATTAGATCGCTGGTGGCGCCCGACAGCGCCGTTTAGAACGGACGGCGCCGGCCGCCCACTGGCCCCGGGCCCTCGCGCTCTCACAAGCCAGCAGGGGTCAACTTAGCGCGCTGCTCAGGTACAACCCAGCAGGTCGAGAAGCGGGGCGACGCGGCCACGGCGGCCCGGGTGGCCGGCTGCTATGGCACTGACTGGGGCCTGGAGGCGCCGCCCCTGGCCGCCGTCGGCAGCGTCGCCGGGCCGCCGGCCGCGCCGCCGGCGGCAGCGCGCGCGGCGGCCGCCAGCGAACGCGTCACAAAGCCAAGCGGTTCTGCCCACCAGCCGGAAGAGGACGTGACCGGGCGGGGCGGGGCGGAGCGGACCGGCCGCCGCCCCCGCCACCCGCCCCACGCACCCTGTGTCTCTGACTAGACCCTCCTTATAAATATGTACAAACAACCCAGTCGATGGCCGCTCCCAGGGGGCGGCCCCGGCGCCAGCCCGCGACCTGACTGTCCCGGCGGAGTCGGGCCCGCCCCCTCTCCACCTTGTGGCATCCAATACCCAAATATCCGCGCGCTATCTAACACTCTTTTGAAGAGCTCCGATAAGGTACTTGTCTATACAAAATGAGAACACTTTAACATGAACTATCACTTAAGTTCAAAGGGTGGGCGGCGTGCGTCGCGGCCCGATCCTGGCCTCATGCTGGGTGGAGCCGCGACCGACACGGCCGTACGCCGGCCACAGCCCCCACCCCCGCCCACCCGCCCACAGATAGTTTGATTTCGCGCCCGCCCTGCTTCGGCGGAGCCGGCTGACTTGTCTACAGCACACAGCGTCAGTGGTTTGATTTGCCCGGGGTGCCTGTGCGGTCCGCCCGCCGGCCGGCCGTGCTCCGTGCGTCGCTCTGTGTCTGTGTGACGGCGCGGGGCTCGGCGCCGCGCGCGCTCAGAGCAGCTGGAAGCTGACGGCGCGCGCCGCCGCCGCCGACTCGGTCGGCGAGGTTGGCAGCACCGGCAGGTGGTAGTACTTGCAGCGCGGCCGCGCGCACTTGCCGCGCACCGAGTCCCGGCACACCGTCACCTGGTTGCTGCTGGTAATCTCGACATAGTCTGCGGCAGACGGGTCAGCCGGGGTGTCACGCGGCGCACACTTCCGCCCCCTCCACCCACAGGCACAACTCATGTTAAGGACGGCTCGCGCAGACAACTGTCGTCGGCACTAGTCAGCAGCATCTGCCCAATTTACGAAACATATACGCAGCAACTTCTAGCTTCGTATCACCTCAACGTTGTGGGGCCATCCGTGGCGTACTTTTTATTAACTCCTGTGAACTCCATCGTCTCGCCGCACGAAAGGGGAACCCCTCCACTGCCCTCGGTCACAGCTCCCCAACTTGACTCGGGGTGCAAGCCCCGCTTCCAGTCCTCCAGTACAAAGGAGCCCAACGAGCAGAGGATCACACCTTGCAAAGCTCCCTCGAGTGATCTTGAACTTGCAAAACTGATAGCGGGGTCAGTCTCATTCTGATCGGCATTTAGCCCACGGATTCGTATAATACGTGGGTCGAGAACACCACCGACATTACCGACGTTCCGAGATTCCAGAATTGACGATATCGATCCGCTCATTTACTATGAGCGTATGTGCCGACGGCGTATTTCCTCTGTATACAAGCCCTCACCCATACACGATCCCGTCAACCAAAGCGCAGCGCTACTTTTTGCTCGCTGGCAAGCCGGCCAACGTGTGACGTTAAGGCTTTCTCGTTTCGTCACGAACTAGTCTGCTGAGTCGATGTTTGGCGGCAGCGGCGAGGCCGCGAAGGCCGAGGGCGAGCGGCCGCCCGCCTCCCCCACCCACCGGCAGAGGTCATTCAGGTGGAGGTCACGCCAGCGCGGGCCGGTCACCTTCGCACGGGAGGGGCTCCAAGTCCTCGAAGTGCGTGTCATTGATAGTCCCACGTGGATGTATCCGTGGATCGGGGGGGGGGGGGGGGTAGATCAAGCATCCTCTGCCGATGCTCTTTGCCGGCCAAAGCGTATGGTTGACCTCATAGGTGGTAGCTTAGAGATAGTAGCTTGCTAGAGCCACAGGATCACGGGACCACAATCGGCGATTTCACCTCAAATGTTAACTGTAATAAGGCGCAACTCACCCAGACACCCCATACCTGCGAATTCGTAACTACGCATGCAAGCAAAAACGAAACTGCGCGACATCAGTGTTTGACGTAGTCGTGGGATCACAACGAAAGCGCGAGTATGAAAAAATCCAATAATGGCTGACGGCTATGAACTTCGACGAAAATAGAAGAGCGCTAATTCCGTGGAATTACAGTACGTGATACGCTAGAGACACGCCATCGACGCCGATTGACGTAAACATGGCGGGGTCTGATCACTGGCCACTTCAACAAGCTCGAGTAAGGAGCGGGCAGGGTCACTAGGCCCAGCGCGCGCACTATACTGGCTGTCCTGCATTGCTTCACCTGGTCAACTCTCAATTAGCGGCAGGTTCGCCAACACGTAAACGGGATTCACAGTGTCTTCTATGGTCCTGAAGCCGCGTTCAAACAGATTTCTGCGGTCGTGAAGCCGACTTTTTCACGTTACACCGTATCTTCAATTATACCCCTATAATTGTAAAGAACTGTAGTAGCATCACACCGAACGAACTAAACAATGTCAAGCGTAATTGACCCATACAACAAAATAGGCTGCTAATTCCGCATCGTTAAAATGACTAGGTCCAATGCCACGTCAACGTCATAAGTCAACGAAGTCAAAAGTTGGTGTGTGGTCGTTCATAAGTTCACATTTGAAAACACAGCATCGGCCACCACCTGAACGGAAGGGGCACGCCCATGGCCGACTGATATCGTTCAGCCTGGATTGAAGACATTCCATCAACAGTTATGTCATAAGCCCAACCACTAATAAAACATGTGCCTTTAGCACTGGGCACCCCGGGTACAACACTCGTCCACGCACCTGGAACATAGTGCACAAATTTACAGGCTGGCCGGATGCAGGCTCCTTTCTTAAAATCTTGGCACACTGGAAGGTTGTCCAGCAACTGGAACACAGGAGGCCGGTAAGCGGGGCCCGGGTCGGCAGGGGTCACGGTCACAGGCGACAGTGGGGCGGGCGGCAGGCGGGCCGGCGGGCGGCGTCTCAGCCACCGGCCGCCCCGCCCGCCACCCGCGCCCTCGGTACGCAACGCGACCTATCGTTACAGTGGCACTGACTGACTGACTGACGTCTTGTTGACTGAGGCAAACGCGGCCTGCAAGCGGCTCACAGACAACTTGATGTGACCAGCAATGACTGTTGAAGCGTCGTTACTTGGCGACATGCTCAACTATGCATTCGATTTAGCCACAGTTTCAAGAACCTCTTGACTTTGATATAAGCAGCGGCAAACTAAATTGAATACTGCCAAAAGAAAAGAAACACACGAAAGCAGTAAAACCGCAGCCGTAGGGCCCAAAAGCAGCGGGGTTGCTGGGTTGTCAGGAAGGCAAGGTCTGTTAAAAGGACGGGCGCGTCGTACGAGAAGTGAAAAAAAACAGCGAGAGCAACACTCCACGACAGTGGAGGGGAACAGGATATAGCAAGTGAGAAAAATATAGAAGTCGCTGGGCAAACGGCGAGATCTCAGACGAAATCGACGGAGAAGTCCAGACACAGAAAAGACGCAGTCGGAGACAGAGAGGGTGGGCGGGACGCATCAAGTGCTCGGTGGCAAGGCGTCGGGGCAGGACGGCGCCCGCTGGGAACGGGTCAGGACCGCCTGAAGCCTGGACTGGGGCCGGTTGGGGACGGCGTGTCGGGGGGCCCGCGCGCGGGCCGCCCGGGGACGGGAGACGGCGCGAAGACGTGGTCCCGGCAGCAGCGGGGCTGACGCGGCCAGCAGGCGGCCGGGCGGGCGGCGCCCAACATGGCGCGGGGAGGCGGGAGCCGGGACCACGTCTTGACGGACGAGAGCGCAAGCGGGACCACAAGCGGGCCCCACGGCTGCGCAAGGTAAAATCGCTTCATACTACCTGTCCCACATTATCCGTGTATGTCACAGAGTGTGCGTTATTGCCTAGCGTTCGGCGGCGAGCCAGCCCAGCCAGCATGCACAGGAGTCGAAGCCATGCCACGGGTCAGGAGGCGCCGCCCGGATCGCAGACGATCCAGACCGGCGCGCCAGTCAGGGAAAGAGTGGCCAAGTGCGGTCGATTCCGGCAGAGATGCGGCCGACGAGTGTTGACAAGTAGCGTTTCGGTTGAGACGGGCCGTCGCCGGTTCAAAGCCACAGCCGGCGCCATTCCGACGAGAGCGCAGACAGCGGGCCAGGTCAGCAGGAGCCGGGCCGAGGAAAGGGCCAGCGGGTAAAGGTGATGGCGAAGGATGAGGCGGGATCAGCAGTCGATGTTACGGGAAGAACATGGAAAAGCCAAACAGAGAGAAATTATGTCTGGTAATATGACATCACATATGAAGCTGGGAAGCGGTTCGGACTACAAAAGCACCTTTCCCGACGTCCGTCATCACTTGTGGCCTCAAGCTTCTAAAATATTAGTGAAAAAGAAGAGCCCAAAATTGGGT